TTAGTTTTTCAGATACTTAGTCCAAAACCTTTTTCAGTGTATTATTAAATTACAGTAACACAGTCTGGCAAAAAAAAAAAACCAACAGCAACCAAATGCATCCTCTTGCTCAGCTGTACTCCTCAGTACCCTTCTCAGCTTTCATTCTTCCACCCCATAATTTAGCTATACAATTTGGCAAAAGAATGACAATAAAGTCAGTCAGTCTTTCTATGTGTCAGAATTAAGGAGGAATTTTCAAGTCCATTTAGCAAGTAGCACATATTTAATTAGCAGGGCACTGATAATTACAGTGGAATACATCCAGACAAAGTTATTCACCTTTAAGTCCACTTTATTTCAAACAAAGATAGAGGGACACAGGGTGTGCGGCATGCTTAATATCTTCTAAAATAAATATGTGGTTAACTTTGACTGGATTGCATATGGAATTTTTAAAGTTTCATCTAATGAATCTGTACTATCTAGCCAGGTCCAAAATTGCAGCCAATTTAGGACTTCCTCTTTTTTTATATTAAAAAGAATTTAGTTGAAACTGATCTCTGTTATAGCACAAGAATTACTTGCATCTTATCTAAAGCAATGTTCTACAGTAGCTTTAAATTTTTGGCCAGAATGTAAATGATATGTGAATTACACAGCTTTCTTCAGTGCAGTGTACAAAATTAGAGGCCTCTTCCTGAATCGTAATAAGAAGAATTAGAGAGAGTATGCTTTTTGTAATTTAAAAGGGCGTAATGTAAGCAAAATAATAATTTAGCTTTAGTTTAACTCAGCAGAAAGAAGTTGGATAAAGAAGAATCCTCTAAGACAAAACTACTGTTATGTTAACTACTCCAGAGATTCAATTCATTAAATTATCACAAATGCTTTCCCTTTTTTTAATCTATGGGTTTTTGCTTTCTCTTCATTTTTGTTTTCCAATGTGAATATGTGACCTTGCCACTGTTTGCCTTTCGTGGTACAGTTCATAATAGGAGTCATGTTAAGTGTCAGATCATTATTTTTTGTGTATGTTGCATAAGGCAGTTTTTATATTTGGTTATTTATGTGGCTTTCCTTCCTTGCATATGAAATGAAAAATAGACATCTTAATTTTTGTTAGGTACTAATTCAGGTGATTTCTTTGCAGCTTTACAATATATTTCCCAAAGCAGCTTATGATGATAAAACATAAAATATCAAACCAAAAAGCTTACTAGAATTATAGAGTTGGAAGGGACCTCCAGGGTCATCTAGTCCAACCCCCGGCACAAGGCAGAAAATTCACAAATACCACCCTCCACACCCCCAGTGACCCCTGTTCCATGCCCAGAAGATGACAAAGAACCTCCAGGATCCTCGGCCAAACTGGCCTGGAGAAAATTCCTTCCTGACCCCAAAGTGGCAATCAGCATTTCCCTGGATATATAAAAAAGGGCCACAAGAACTAAGCACTGATGCAATAGTTCCTGCCCACCCTCTCATGATCTGCCTAAATTTACAGAATCAGCATTGCTGTCAGATGACCATCTAGCCTCTGTTTAAAAACCTCCAAAGAAAGAGAGCCCACCACCTTCCGAAGAATCCTGTTCCACTAAGGAACCACTCTAAATGTCAGGAAGTTCTTCCTAATGTTTAGCTGAAAACACTTTTGATTTAATTTCAACCCATTGGTTGTGGTCTGATCTTCTGGGGCAACAAACCCAACTCTGCACCATCCTCTGTGACAGTGAACACACTAATCCAAAGCAAGTATCCATTGGGCCAGTGGCCTGTCACTCCCCTGGACTGGGTTGCAGAGAGAGGATTGGCTGAGCTCAGGGTTGGCCCTCCCTTGGGGAAGCATTTAAAAGGTGTGCCCAGGAGCAGCCAATGAGGAAGGATTAGTTTCAGTTTTTGGTTGGTAGGAGTGGGCAATGGATAGAGCAGTGTGGGGAAATTGGGTGAAAAGGAACACCCTCCTCTTGCTCTATTCTGAAACTGTATCCTGGGACACTTGCCCAACAAAAAACAACTTGGGAGGGTGAGACAGCTCTGGACTCAGACCCAGCTCCAGTGGATCCTGACATTTTCTAATTGTGAAACATAGTTTTTCCCGTGTTTTAAATTGTCAGCTCATTAACTTCAAGCTGCCTATTTTATGTAGCTTGGCATGGATGAGTTTGTCTTTGTAGTTCCTCATACAGGATTGTCAGTGCACAGACCAGAGCATAGGACATTTTAGAACTTAGTACCGTGTTTCCCCAAAAATAAGACACTGTCTTATATTTATTTTTTCCTCAAGAAGACACACTAGGGTTTATACCACAAATGCATAGAAATCCTGCTAGGGCTTATTTTTGGGGTAGGTCTTATTTTCGGGGAAACAGGGTAGCTGAAAGTACTACTGCTCCTCTTCTTGTAGAGGCCTTTGAACATTTCACATGGGAGGTGCAGTTGTTGCCTGCTTGCTCAGTTTTACTTTGACCACCATGAAAGAACCAGCAAATAGAAACCAGCAAATCTTCTTACATTCCTCATTTTTTTTCTTTACTGACTGTACAGTACTATTTTCTTCCTTTATTTTTTAGCCCATCTTAGTTTTTTTCTTTGTTCTCACCCTAAAGAGCTGTGATGTAGATAGTCCCTTTAAAGTACTTCATGTCAAGACCCAAATTTCTGACAGCCACAGTCACTGCATTGTTTGCAGTGAAGGGCTGAGCAGGGTTAGCACTTGTGCTATGTCTGTCTGGGCTGTACCACATGTAATCGTAGGTTAAGGTTCATATAACTGCATTTCTTCCATTAAAAAAAAAAAAGAGCTGCCAGGAAGAATGGTACTAGCCTAGCATTCTCCCTGACAATCCCTATTTGTAGTCTGAAGTGCTACAGCTCAGATGCATTTTTGTCCTTTATAAACACTGTGCTGCAGATGTTTGCCTCTTCTGCTAGTGGTTTAGTGAACAGGCCTGGAGGAAACTGATGCTCAATACTGATTTTGGCAGAAAGCCTTCATTGTGAAAAAGACAATGTACTCTCCTAATGCTGATACCTCTTAACAAAACTAGTATGCATCTTCATGCCAACTGTTTTGACAAACTCCATAATCCAGCCTACATGTGAAACTAATGAGCCAAACTGCGGAGTAGTTTCCTAAATACTAGCAAAGTCCTGCAAATTTGTCTCAAAAATGTTGTTACTTCAGCTTTTGATATTGATCTCTAGTTAGAAATCATTGAATAAACCAGTCATGTATTTTCAATATCATACTTGGGGTGAACAGATGAAAGGGTACCAGAAAATTTATTTTCTGCTGAATTCATGGAGGATAAGTCTATCAATAGCTACTAGCCATGGTGACTGAGGAGAACCTCCACATTCAGAGGCACTAAGCCTCTGAATTCCAGAGCCAGGAGGCAACATCAGGGGAAGGCCTTGGTCTCTATTCCCTGTTGTTGGCTGTCCAGAGGAACTGGTTGGACACTGTGTGAGCCAGGATGCTGGACTAGATGGACCATTGGTCTGATCCAGCAGGGCATGTTCTTATGGTCATTTGCTTGGGAATCTTTATCAAGATGTATTTTGAGGATGGCTCATATTTCAGCTGTTTGAGTTTGTATCTTATCCCTTCCCAAGAAAATAATTTATTAACAATGATATTTATTGGTCTAGTTCTCATAGTTACCTGTAAAACTTTAGATACATACTCTGCATCTGCAAATGAGACCAACTTAGACTGACCTGTGAAAATAGATGCTGAGCCTCCAGTTAAGCTGAAAGAAGTGATTTTTATCTGCACAGTAGGTGGCAAACTTGTTAGAACAGGTGGAGGCAGCTTGAGTTTAGCAGACTATATTCTCAACTGAGAATAGTTCAGCTGTTTGGGACTTTGCAAATGTTACAGCAGCAAAAAAGAAAGTCATTGATATAAAATCGCATATTTTAATACCTTTTAGAAAGTTATGTGTAAATAGAATATTTTTTAAAGTTTACTCAAATATGTTTACACATAGGGATGCGTATTAATGACTGTTTGAGAGTGATAACTGAAAAAACAAATTATTTGTGGCTATAAAATGTTTGATTTTTTACATACAGACATTAAATTTTCTTCTATAAACTGATTATAGAAGAAAATTCTTCAGGCTAGGGTTAACATTACCTTTCCATGTTCCTGTGACTTTTAACAGCAGTGATGAGTGGATGTTAGCTAGTGCTTAGGTTTATATCCATTCCTGGAAATGTCTCACCTTCTGATTTCTGCAAATCAGCTGCTGTTAAACACACAGGAGAATTTCAGTCCAGGTTTTTCTGGTCAGATAACAAAAGACCAGAAACCCATGAATATAACAACGAAAACTCTATAAAAATAGTATGTGAACCCTGAACAATGTTATAAATGAACTATATTATACTAAATGTCTCTGGTGTCAGTCAGATTTCTGAAGACACCTCAAAGTCCTAACAAAATTCTATCTGAAGCAGTCCTTCCCAGTGAAGCAATAAAGTCCGATGTTGATGGAGATAAAGTGATCCTGTTAATGGGGGGGCACTGGTAAAAATCTGATTTCCACAGTGTTTTCATCAGGAACAGGTACCACGACGGAACATAATTAATCCATAATACATTCAATCTTCCTAATTCTTAGTCTGGTCTGATAAAGCAGCTCCCAAATTTTCAAAGGATGCTACTTTGAAAATTTGGAAGCTGCTTTATCAGACCAGACTAATAGGCTCCATCAACATTATTGGGAAGGACGGCTTCAGATAGAATTTTGTTAGGACTTTGAGGTATCTTCAAAAATCTGATTGACACCAGAGACTTTTAGTATAATATTCTTCATTCATAACATTTGTTCAGGGTTCACATACTATTTTTATAAAGTTTTTATTATTATATTCACGAGTTTCTGGTCTTTTGTTAATTTTGTCCATACCATGAATCTCCTCTTTTTGCTTTGTTTTCTGGTCAGTTGGCAACTCTACTTTAAAAAGTTAACATTTTTACACTTTTATGATAATAATGTTTTCTTATATAGGGGAATATATTAAAAATTGGAGGCCAAGATACTTCCTCTTGAAGACAGATGGCTCTTTCATAGGATATAAGGAGAAGCCCCAAGATGTGGATCTACCATATCCTCTTAACAACTTTTCAGTAGCAAGTAAGTCTCTTCAGTAATCATTATTAGTGTCTATATAAAGTATCACAAAATCCATGTTGAAAACTCTTTTGGAATGAATAAATTTTAATGTTGTCAAATGTAAAATGACTGTAGCCTCTAAGCCACCCTTACATCTTGGGTCCAGTTAGGAATCTGTTCTGCATTGGCTTCCATAATTTGAATGTTTAATATCAAGGATTAAAGCTGTGATCTTTTTCATGAGTCTTGTTGAAAGTGGAATTTAGAAACAACAATGCCAAGTATAACTACATAACTACTATCCTGTGCATACTTATTTGACAGTACATCCTGTTGAATTCAAAACAGTTTGGCTGTGTTTCTCCTTTTTTGGTTGCAGGCTTCACAATCAACCACTTTTTAAATTCACCAACAGATTTCTTTAAACATCTTCCATCTTAAAAATTGACTGTATAAATAATCTGTTACAATCTGGTATACCACAAATGAAACCAAAGCTGAAAAATTAAATTTGATTGACAATTACTGCAGATTAACATAAAAATAAGTCTTACTGTCGCTTGGATGGAAATACAAATCCAATATGAAAGCTGCTAGGGTCAGCAGTACTTTACATCTTAATCCTTTCAAGTCGACCCAGTTCATTTTGCAAGCAGCATTAGGGTTAGAAAATGCATTAGCTGAAATTGTGTGTGTCATTGTGGGGGATGGTATATATAGTGAGGTGGCTTCCTTAAAAGCATTTAACAATTGTTAAGGAGCATGGCCCAATCAGTTTGGAAGTCTATCAGGCTTCCATCACCCTTGTGTGGTGCTCTGATAGAGTACTGGTTTCAAGAGCCTGGTGTACCTTGTATTGGGTCTTCTGACAGATTTGAGATTTTCTTGGTGTGCTGACCACATCATTACCCAATAGCCTCCCTGACTGGGCTACTTGAACTGGTCTTCGACCTGGTATTGGTGTCCCCAGTGCTTCTTGGGGATTTCAAGATCTATTTCAAGATCCATTTACCAGATATAGCTGAGGGCTTCATGATGGCTTATGATGGCTATGGGGCTGTTTCAGTCCCCATTCATATTGTAGGAGATGATGTTCTCAATGTGTTGTTCTTTACTGAATTGAAATTAAATGGTTCACTTGGGAAATTCTGTAACTCCTTTGTCAATAGATGGCCATTATTTGTGAAGTTTAGATTGGTGATGTTTTATAATCTCCATGGTGGGTATCAGTTAAGATGATCTATCCTCACAGGCTAGTCGACCTGGATTGATTCCTGACTACTGTTTGGAGACAGTTTTATTGCCATGGCTGGTGTTCCTGTAGAAACTCAAGTTGACGGTAGAATATAGAGGTCTTTTGGACTGTTGACACAATCTCTTCTAAGTGCTCTCTTCATCTTCACAGAGCCCAGTCTGCTTCTTGGTTTCCTGAGAAACTAGGGGTGATGAAAAGGGTTGGTAGACTGCTTAAGTACAGACAAGTTAGAGCACATCTTCGTGTCTGGTGGTGGTGGTAAAGCATACTTACTTCTCTGCTGCCATTGCATCTACACATAGCTGTCCAGCTGAGCAAGTTCTTGATGGTGAGGGGACTTTTAAATTATATCATAATGATATTGTTGCCCCTCAGTGACCTGTGTCATTTGCTCCCCAAGGTCTTTTGGCCAGAGGTGTGGTGAAATTTCAGCCAGTTTGATATTAAAACAGGTTATCTCAATGCAGGAATTCCCCTTAAGTGCTTTCAAGAGAATGTAGCTTGACTGGTTGAATTATCAGGAAAACAGTAATCCAGGCTCTTTTGATCCTTCAGATCTCCTTATGCCTATGGCCTTAAGCAACTACCCAAGTTCGCAGAACAATAATCAAAGGTTTTAGGATTTCCCTTACAATATAGACTTCTCTTACAATAAAGACTTCTCTTGCTAAAGATAGACGAGAAGCAAAAATAAAAGGTGTCAGAAACAGAATCAAAACCCTAAATGCAGTGTTCCAGTGACTCACAGACAAAGAGATCTATAATAATAACCAGTGTAAAGAAATGGAAGAGAACAACAGAAAAGGAAGAAAAGATCTATTCTACAAGATCCAAGAAATCAAAGGGAAATGTAAAGCATGGTTAGGCATGCTAAAAGATCTACATGGAAATACATTAATTGAACAGGACAAAATAAGGAAAAGATGGGAACAATACACTGAAGAACTATACAAAAGAGATGACAGGTTCCTTCCAAGAAGAATTTTTTTGAAGACGAACCTACAGTTTTAGAAAGTGAAGTGAAAGCTGCACTGAGAGCAATTGGGAAAAACAAATCTCCAGGAGTAGATGAAATATTAATAGACCTATTCCAAACCACAGAAATGGAGTCCATCAAAATTTTAACAAGATTGTGCTAATAACTATGGAAAGCAAAGCAATGGTCCAGAGACTGGAAACTCTCAATTCTAATTCAGAGAAAAGGAGATGTTAAAGACTGCAGCAACTATAAGACCATCACACTGATTTCTCACGCAAGTAAAGTGATGCTCAAAATCTTACAACAAAGACTGTTACGATATATGGAACAAGAAATGCTAGATGTTCAAGCTGGATTCAGAAAAAGAAAGAGGCAGTAGAGATCATATTGCAAATTTACATTGGTTTACTGGAGCATACAAGAGAATTTCAGAAGAAAATCAGCTTGTATTTCATAGATTACAGCAAAGCTTTTGACTACGTAGATCATGAAAAGCTATAGCTGGTTTTAAAATAAAAATCTGATTGTTTTGATGCACTACTTGTACTCTGGACAAGAGGTTACTGTTAGGGTGGAATATGGATAACAGAATGGTTTCCAATTGGGCAAAGGTGTCAGAGAAAGATGTATTTTATCTTCCTGTCTCTTCAGTCTGTGTGGAGAACATATAAAGAAAGGTAGAGTGAAAATTGGTGGAAGGAACATTGATATGCAGATGACATCACGTTACTGGCAGAAAATAGTGAAGACTTGAAACAGCTACTGCTGAAGGTTAAAGCAGAAAGTGCCAAAGCAGGGTTACAGCTGAATATCAAGAAGACAAAAGTAATGACCAATAGGGAATTACACAGCTTTAATATTGACAATGAAGAAATTGAAATTGTTCAAGATTTTCTATTCCTTCTTCCTGGATAGATAGAATAGGTATTATTAAATCATTCGTCCTACCTAAATTCATTTTTTTTTTCTTTAGGACACTTCCCATATATCTTTCTGCAGGGCTATTGAAATGTTTGCAAAATACTTTTAACAGTTTTGTATGGCAGCAGACAACCAAGGGTTCGACAATACACTTCAATGCTTTTGAGTCGGGTCAGTTCAGCCTTTCTCAGCCTTGCTAAATATTATGAAGCTGTAGTTCTTTTCTTTTTACCTACCTTATATAATCAGTCCATCAAAGTAGATTGGAAATATATAGAAGAACAAAGTATCATACCGTACTCATTTTCAGAATTTTGATTGTCCGATTCATGACTCGGGTCTATGGTTTCCAAACATAATTGTTTCATATATACACTTTGTAAACATTTGGGAAATATATTGTAAAGGAATTGCTCCATTCCCATCATCTGCAGCTAACTTTTTGGGACAACGCTGGTTCTCCCTGGGAAGGGACTATAAATTCTTTACTTGGTGGAGGGACGCTAAAATGATATGATTTATGGATATACTTAAAAATGGGAGTATTCTGGATAAACTTTCCCTTAAACGAAAAGGTAAAGTGCAGTTCCCTAGTAGAATCATCTAATTTTAAACTGAACAGAGATCTGACAAAATTTGAAGTGTTATTGGCCACAGATCCATGTCCCTAAAAAGGGTTAATTGCAAAATTTTACAATATATTAATGATATTGCAGTGGTCCAAACCTATATCATACCAGCTTGCTTGGAAAAAAGATTGCAAAGCCAATTTGACTTCTCAATGGAAGGCAATATGGTCCTCAATAGCTTATACTTCCAAATCCTCTAAAATACAATTAATATTGCACAAAATGCTCACCCAGTGGTACCTGATACCTTCTTTACTACATAAAGGCAATAAAAGTATTTCCCATAATTGTTGGGAAAATTGTAGAAGTTATGGATCACTGTTGCATTGCTGGTGGTCATGTGACAAAGTAAAAAAAATTGGGACCAGATTATACATCATATACTGCTCATCACTAATTATAAACTACCTAACACTCCTGAACTGATTCTTTTGAATCCAGCAATACCTAAAATGAGACAAGAGCTAATTACAGTTCTGATTACAGATGCAAAATTTCTATGGGCCTCTCACTGGAAAAAGACTCTGTCCCTTCAATTGCAGAATGGTATGTAAAAATTTGGGAATTTTTCACAATGGCCAAAATAATTGATCATATTTCAACCACTGAATCTACCTCAGATATTTTAATTCTAATTTATTAGAAAAATGGCTTCCCTTCATGGATTACTCAGCACAGTAACTTTCTTTTGAGTATCATAAGACAAACAAATGGTATAATGAGACTTTAGCTTATCTATAAATGTGGTTGGTATATTTGTTGGTAATTACAAAATTGATATTTGTTATTTACTAGATCTTCTTCATGGTCTCTGTGCATCACACTTTTGGGATATAGTGCGCCTGTACTAATCCCGATCGGTAAATTTAAAAGCTGAAAAGGATTTTTGTGCTCATTCCCCATGTTATGCACAAGGGGCTCCACTGTGCATGACTACAGGGAAGGGCATGAAGATCCTGCCAGTTTTCTTCTGACAGCTTAACTGTTCAGACCTTTCCTCGCTTACTGTCTTTTTCCTTATTTTTCCTTTATTTTTTCTGTTCTTTGGTTACTGAGAGACATTTGGAGGGCTAGTAACTTCCTCCAGTGGCAGGGCTGTCCTGCCCCACCTGAACCTCCATACTGCCCTCCATCCAGTTTTTCCCCTGCCTATGACCAAACGGTGGGGATTTTTCAAGAGGTACCTGAGGTGTGGTAGCAAAATTGCACCCCCTGATGGACATTATTTGCCTCTTGT